AAGAAGAGCTGGTTAATCACTAATACAAGATATTGACACATCTACTTAGTATGTCTTAACCACATTTCCTGACCTGACCATTGGAGAAAAAGAAACAAAAAGGGAGAAACGCTAAATAAGAATCAAGAGATAAGTAGTATGAAAACCTATGAAATCTGTCCAAACATATGTTTAGTGATGTCTCCTACTCAACACCATTACCTGATTTAAAGTCCAACTAGATATGTGAAACTCAGGTAAAAAGTGTGTCATCTGGTGGCTGTCACTGTCCACACTACATGTGAATGCTCAGTTGTTGAAGCATATCCCCCTAGAACAGAACATCCATCTGACTGATCCTGTCAATTTTGTTGTTGTTTTCACCATTGCACCACTGGAGCCTCAAAGGCTTCATGCCACATAGTAATTGCTACATGCAAAACTTTAGACATGATATCACATAGTAATCTTTTATCCTCCTGACTCCATTTCCGATGCTTCTCCCTCAATGTTTCCTGCTGGATTACTGCACATCGCAAGAGGATTTAGGATGTATATTTGTATTCTTTCTTCCCCTCCACTGCAATCAAAGCATTTCATCATTATCCATCCAAGAGAACCTGAATTGCCTTATGTTACAAACACTGCTTCAGGACCCAAGTAGGAAGGAGCCTGTAACTTGGATTTGGAGCACTGTAAATGCCAGAAGGACATTGCACAGTATGAAAGACAGAGGAGACTTGCAATGCTCTAAGTAATGTTTTATTATGCATTGGTGCAATGTCTGGATTTTTATGTATCTGTTTGTGGAATCCAGTATTTTTCTCTCTTCTTAAGGTTCAGTGCAGTGAAGTATGTTTTTGCTTGAGCAATTTTTTTTCCTTAGGGTGAGTCTCTCCTGGCATAAGTAAATTGTTTTGGTGCATTCCTAGATTTTGTTGGTGAATATTTTGTCATGGATTTTTGAATCTAAGTTCATGAAGGATGTTGATTTGTGGTTCCTCTGATTTGTATTGCTTTTCTCTAGTTCTGGTATAAGACAATGCCGCTCTCATAGAATGTTTTAGGAAATGATTCCTCTTGAATTTTCTGAAAGAAATTGTAGAATTTATGTTATTTATTCTTTGCATGTGTAGTATGGAATCCATCTGGGTTGGAGAAGTAGCTTTTAGACTTTTTAATACTCTTAGTCTAATTTCTAGAGTGGTTGTGATTCATGTGACCTCTTTTTTGAAAGGAAATATGACAGTTAAAATGGGTTGGAGAAGTAGCTTTTAGACTTTTTAATACTCTTAGTCTAATTTCTAGAGTGGTTGTGATTCATGTGACCTCTTTTTTGAAAGGAATATGACAGTTAACTGAATATCAACCTGACAAAATCTCCATTCACCCAGGAGACACACCCTAGGCATGTGTGTGAGGGAGTTTCTACAGTGGGTTAATGGAGGTGGCCTACCCTTACTGTGGATACATACTTCCAAGATCTGGAGTTTCTGACTGAATAAAAGGAGATACAGATTGAACAATCCCATTCATTTCTCTGTCACCCTACTCTGGATACAACATGACCAGTCTCTCCCACTCCTGCTGTCTTGATATCTCCTCCATTATAAACCCTTCCTTCCTTAAGTTGCTTTTGAAGGGTATTTGGTTGTAGCACCACAGAAGTAATAAATATATGCAGCTTTATTGTTTTGTGTTTTTTTGAAAAGCTAGTTGATTTAACTGAATTGATAACATCAAACAGTAGAGTTGATAGAATTCTTAGTTAAAAGTGTTCTTTGCTGTTCATATATTGATTTTATAATTTTCATTGCATATACTCATTATACATTATATATAATATATATTCATATACTCATATCTTGTATGGTTAGCATACTCTCATATCCCCTAGACTTCTCTTAATGCCTCCCCTTCAGTTAGGCCCCATTGTTTCTCTAGATATTAGTTCCCATTTTTTCACTTTGGCTTTCATGTCATTTATACATAATAGTTTTATGTCTCCATAAGGAGTCAGGAGGTATATATTAAAGGAAACACAGTCTTTCTCAGACTGATTTAATTTGCTTACCATGATCATCTCTCATCATATTCACTTCAGGCAAGCAGCGTGACTCCATTCTCAATTCCTCTACACTTACTTTTGAGACAGGGTCTCTCAGAAAACCCAGAACCCATCAGTTGGTTAGGCTGGCTGACTAGTAAGCCCAAGGGATCACCCTGTCAAGCTTTGTCTCAAACTTCATCCTAGGCTTACAGGTGTGCACCACCATGTCTTTTTGTCATGTTGATGCAGGGGTCTGAATTTAGGGACTCGTGTTTACACAGCAAACATTTACTTTAACCATGAGGCAAAACCCAAAAAACTTGTAATGCTTTTAAGAGACCTTCACCATTTACCTTGCACTGTTTGCAGTTGGGATATCATTGATATATACACTCCACTGAACCAATAGTTAATAGTTGGTCAAAAACTGAACTAATAGTTAATAGTTGGTCAAAATTTGTAAAATAATCTTTTTTTCTGCTTGGGGTAAGTCAACAAGATTTCACGTATAGCATCTAATAATAGTAAAATAGTTGTGTAAGTTTAGTTTCCATGCCCAACAGCAGTGTGTATGGGCTTCAATGCCCTGCATCCTCATTGTTGTCTCTTGCTCTTGCATGGCGTATGATCTTAGTGGGGTGATATTATTCTGTGAAGGTTTCAGATTCCACTTTCTGTTTTAAGGAACAAGATGTTTTAAACAAAAAAATCAAGAAACAGAACAAACAACAGTATGGAATGAGGGATATCAAGATGAAAAAGAAGAGCTCCGATAGTTCCTTGATGTGAAAAGTCTAAACACGCCAGCTGCCTCCCTGCTGTCTCCTTTCAGAGCAGAATCGTCTGATATGCCTCAGACCATCTCACATTCAGAACTAGATATAATACAGGATAATAAATATGGCAAGCCTAAGAGACTATGGTCTTTGAATAATTGATTATACTTATATAGTGTTGTTGGGTCATGTCTGTAGATACATAGGAAGGTGCTATGATGTTACAACAGTGAAACTTCACATGCCACATTTATTGAGAGTATTAATTACCAACATTATGATTGAGACAATTTTCATAGAAATTGTCTTTAGAGCACAAGTCTTAGGTCTACATGAGGCAGGACTCTGTCCTCCAAGCTTACACCGGTTTCCCAATCCCTTTATCCAGTGAGGAGTTCAGCATCTAGTTTTCCCTTCCATTAACACTACAGTCATCAGCCTTCGAATGTCCTGATTCTTAGCCTCTGTCTACTTGAAAAGAGCTCTATAAAGACACCTCCAGGTCATGTACAACATCTGCTGTTGGAGCACCAACTTCTAGTCACAGTACTTGTGCTAAGGCTTTGCATAGTTGTTGAGATATAAGCTCTGTCCTTTAAAGGAACAGAAAGCCCTGCCCTTAGCTGTCAAGCCATCATCCCCCAGTAGTTAATGTGTTCTGAACAGTTTGTTAGGCTACTGTTTCCAGACAGCTGCTCTTTCCGGAAGTTCAGCAAACTTTAACTTGGCAGGGTTAACAGAAATTCATTGTGGGTTCCTTGATTCTATGTTTTACAAATGGCTTTGGAAATTGTCTGTCAAAGTCTGCCTGTCCATTCACCCTCCCTGAATTTGAAGTTTACATAGCCCCCAGTAAAGTATGGAGGAAAGCCATGGACTTCCCTCTGCTTCTCTTTGTAAGGAAACATTTCCTGATGTCAATTGAGGACATTCTGGACAATGTGTCCTTATGGCACAAGACTGAAAGTGAAAGCATACAGGCTCAGCTTCTCAGATATAGCCTGGATGTCAAGAAACCATATGACTTCTTGAATGGGTTGGATCCTGTTTGTTCAGTTGTTATATATCAGACTGTTA